AAAGTATGCCCTCAAACTCCGCTGTGGAGGAAAATTATTATTGATGGATACACTAGTATACTAATCTTGCATGAGAAGGAATTCAAACCGTGTCTATTATGACAATTACTTATTTATGATGGAAGATGGGTACCACTTCATGGGAAATTAAGGAAATTTACTCTCACTTAACGGTATGCACATTGTTAATATTTGCATTAAATATGAATCTGTCACTACTTTTTCAAATAGTTGGATTGTGGATTGAAGCTTCTATGTATTATATTGCTGGAATACAATAGCAATTTTATTGACTCGCTAACAATACCAAAGGAAATTATATATATTGTGTGGTTTGTCATTGCCGCTAAATATTATACACTTTGGAATTGGAAATTTTACCATGAAACTCCATGGTGGAGGAAGAGTATTATTGTTATAGGAAAAACTATATGCAACTTCAGTGTGAATAGATTTAATTTATGGTTCTATCTTGGAACCCATTCTTTAAAAGGAAATACTATTTGGAAAAGCAAGAGTGGAAATATTGGTCAATGATAAAATTAGTGCATTACCGAAATTCACACGATGGTCTATTCTTTCTTGATGGTCCATTGGAAGTTAGCAACCCAAATTGTTATTTGGGGAAGATAACTCCATGGAGAGGAATGTTGATAATGGAACACATGCTTGGAATTTGTTATTTTTGTTATGGACGACTTGGTCACATATAATGGAATCAAATCGAGTAACTTACTAATTCCGGAGTTCAAAACTTTAGTGGGAGGAATTTGGTTTTCTGAAGCACCTATATAATGGGTATTTGACTTGCACGCCTTTTCTTAAGGTAGAGAGAGATAAAAAAAACTTAAGATTTTTTTATATGCTTATGGTAAAAAAAAATTTGGACACTCCCACTAGAGGTCAGATTGTTTATTTCATTTCACTCATCGATGATTGCACTTCATATGGTTACATGTTTACCTTTTCATTATACAAGACAAAAGGTTTTATTGTGTTGCTCACATGTTGTAGTGAAGTGGAAAATCAGTTAATTAAAGTATATCAAAGTCTTAACAACTGATTGAAGGGGGAAGTACACTTCAGGAATATATCAATTTAATATGTAAACAGCATGGAACTACATTCCCCATTCTGATATACCATATATTTCACAATTGAGTGGAGGAATAGAATATCTTTGATACTCCCTTGTTATTTCTTTTGAAGAAATATTACATATTGCGTTTATATAATTTTTCATCTAGCACACACCAGGAATTTATTAATTGTTATTCTAGTGGATCAAAGGTATGTTTTTGATATGGAAAAGGAAAACTGGTGGAAAGTGGAAGCCTATATTATTATGAATAATGGTGGAATTATTGGCAATTATACTAGAACATAATCTTGACATCAAAGGAAACTACAAGTGAAACTTCCGATATTAACATGCTTAGGATAAGTGGGAGGAATTAGTTTGGAATATTATGTTTGGATAATTGTTATGTGTTGTTGGGGGATGTCACTCTAAATTTTAGAGGAATCACTAGATTCTCCCAAGAAAGTTTTTTTTCATCAGTGTCAACTATGGGTGGAAGAATTGTGGGAAGGAATAAACTCAAATGAGGAAGATCATAGTTTGGGAACTTATAATATCATACCAAATAATCGCAAGCCTATTGTCTGGAAGAGAACTTTCTTTTTGTAAGGAAATTTGGCTCATTGGAATATTATAATGTCACTCTTGTTATTTGATTTTTCACACAAAGGAAAATATACTTTGTGGAACTCTCTCTCCTGGAATTTTGGGAAAGAGGCACTAAAGACATTGTTTGCTAATTGAATATATGCATGTTCATGTTTTAACTTTCATATGAAAGGAACGTTTGAAGCTTCCGATGTTTTAGGAGTGGAACTACATAGGGTATGTTTTGAAACGTTTCCTATGGAAAATTTGCAAACTTATTAAAGTACCTAGACCAAACTCAGTGAGGAAATATGTTTGAACTCCTGAGGACAAAGGGATAATAATGGTGTTGAAATTTACTGTATCTTCGTTATACAATCATACCTTAGCTTCCGGAATTTATGCTGCATTCAAGCAGTGGAAGGAAAGACGAGCAGCTAAGGGAATCTCTCACATCATATATGATTGTGGAAACTGCATCACAACCTGCCGCTTGTTCTGAAATTTATATTAAAGGTAAACACATTGAGAAAGCCATTATTGTATCTACAAGATGAGAAACAAGTCCAGGTACACATATGCAATTTATTTTGTAATACTAATAAGGTGCAGGTTCACTGACACAAGTCAGGAATTTATTTCAAAACATAAGTTACTTATGGAACTTCATTTACTTAAAGGATTTAATATTTATGTGGTTTTGAAAACTCTATTCAACAAGGTTATCATCTATTTGACTCGATGTGGAATTAATCATATTATTGATATATGTGATGGAAAATAATTGATGTGGAAATTCACTTGAGGAAGCAAAATACTCAAGGTGCCTACAAAGGTGGAATTACACTCGAGGAAATAATACTCGAGGCGCCGAGGACAGCTATGCTGGAATAATTAGGCGAAAACTAAAGGTCTTCAGTGATCTTAGGTGTCACAACAAGGAAACATATTGAAGGAAAGTATCACCATATATATATATATATATATATATATATATATATATATATATATATATATATTTGCGGGTTTTCAACGTAGTGTTAATATGATTGTTGATTCCTTGACCAAGCCTCTTAGTCAGGAGGTATTTGGAAAGCATGTTAAGGCTATGAGTTTACGAATATTTGAATGATCGTTTGGGACAAGTGGGAGATGTTGGAATTATGTATCCCGCAACTATATTCAAATTACTAGAAATTACTAATATTCGGAACACATCATTGTTGAATTATACATGTATTAATGCATGGAATTACTTTACATGATTATCATGGAATTATCATTTGTTGGAATGTACTTAAGTTGTATGCTTAAGGAAGCTGGTCGATTATCAGTGGAATACAATATACTATTTATTTTGGAAAGACTACCCGGATACAGTGATAATCGGAAGGAGCTAGATCATATAGTTAGATAACAGCACTAATGTTGATCTACATAACTAGAGGAATTTACACTCTATTATGACGCGTTGCTTACAAACGTGTGCTTCGGGGACACAACGGGTAGAATCCATTATCAGACAAATTTGATCGTGGTTGGTAATTTGATCTGGACTCTATCTCGGAAACAAGTAGAATAATAAAACACCTGGAAGTGGAGTCTATAAATAGGTCCCTACCCTCTAGCCTCAATATGCATTATGAGCGGCACCACGGAGCAAAGGAATTAGAGGGTAGACCGAATAGCACATAAATTCTAACATAGTCCAGTCTGAACAAGTAGGAATGGAATGAGGGAGCCCCTTGGAAGTGCCGTTAGGTTGTTCTATCAGGTCAAGCATCAAGGACACCATACAAAATCACCGAGAGGCAAGGTCAAAAGAAGAAGAAATATAATGGATGAGTGATGAGAAAAGGTTGAATGCGTCCAAGCGCTTTGTTGAACGACCATTAAACCTGTATATACGCTGGTGACTTCGTCTTGTGCAACCATTTGGTGCACGGCTCGGTCAAAGCCGTGCACATCATGCACCAACTTAGCTCTCTAATTTCTTGAACGCTGCTACACAGCCGACGCATTTTGGACGATTTTGAGACGATGCAGCACATCAGGACATCCAATGCCTAGTCCAAAAGTGAACATCACCGTCGAGTCCTCCCATCGTCCAAAATTCGGCTGGAAAATGTTGTTCATAAAGTAATTTCGTAATTTCTTTCTTGTGCTATATCATGCACTAACTTAACTTTGTGCGTTCCTGTGGTGACCACTTCAAATTTGACCGTGACAACTGACTAATCCACTAGTAAGATTTTGGAGACCCAATATAAAGACGAGCTCAGCTACACGCAGTCTCTAGCCCATGTATGACAAAAATAATACTCCCTCCATCCCAAAAAACTTATCTTAAATTTATTTAGGTACAAATGTATCTAAACATGTTTTAATGTTAAATACATCCATATCTAGATAAATTAGGGCGGCTGCGTCCATGAAACTATGAGATAGAGCTGACGGCCGCGGGGCTGCTAGTGCGGCTGCGTCAAGGAACAATGAGACCTAGCGAAGGGCAGCCGGGCTGCTGGGGCGGCTGCGTCCAAACAATGACGAACAGTTCTGATATGGGGCTTGAAATTGATGCTATGAATCATTACAGTTATAACATCACAAGAAAGGACAAATCTACCCTAACAGCCAATTACCAACATATCCTAGAGAGAGAAAAATTAGGAATCAATAATGACCATTGAATCAATTATATACTACCCATCATTTTCAGTAGTATGATATACTATAAAAAGTCTCAACATTTTTAGGACGGAGGTAATATAGTAGTATTATCTTTTTTCTGCGAGTGAGTAGTAGGAAGCGGATTAGGAGCACTCGGGTGCTCCACCCCCTATATTAAAAAATAATTTAATAATTCAAAAAAAATTCAAAAAATCTTGGATATATTTTTGAACCAAATATGACTAGGTATTGTACTCATATAAAAAGTTTGGCCAAGGAATGATTCTTGTTGACTTCAAGGCAAAAAACAAATTTATAACGATAATATAGCATGAATAGTACTTGCATCTAGCATTTTTTTGGGAAATCTTTGATCCCGGATACAATAAAAGTCATTCCCTATTTAATCTTTTTATATGAGTACAATGCTTGGTCATGTTTGATTCCATAAAAAGTTTGAGGATTTTTTGACTTACTAAATTATTTTTGAATATAGGGGGGCGTAGCACCCAAGAACTCCTATGTATTTTCGGTGAGTAGTAGTAGTAAGCTAGTAGTAATAATAAATGGAATACCCGGCAGGCGTGAAATGTCCATGGGCTATATACATCTCCCCTTTGTTTTCTAGTGCTCAAGCTTTCTCCTTGGCAAACACCAAGCGATGGGCTCCCGCCGTCGTCGCAGTCTCACCACCTTAGTCCTGGTGCTCCTCTGCCTCTACCATGCGCCGCGCATGGCCCTGTCGCTCTCCTTCAACCTCAACTTCTCGGACCCCGGCGTCCCCAACCGCGGCGCGTCCATCAACTTCGCCGGCCAAGCGTTCCTCAGCTCCTCCACCCTCGAGCTGACGACCAACACAAGCGATGCACACATCCAGTACAGTACCAGCCGGGCGTCGTACGTGCACAAAGTGCCGCTGTGGAACAGCGCCACCGGCGAGACGGCTAGCTTCACCACCACCTTCTCCTTCCGGATCACCCCGGACAGGGACAGCCCGTCCGACGCCGGCGACGGGATGGCCTTCTTCCTCGGCCATTTCCCTTCGGTGATCCCGGCCAAGAGCGAGGGCGGCAGCCTCGGCCTCCTCCCGGCCCTCACCAACGGGACGGGCTACACCCGGATCGTCGCCGTCGAGTTCGACACGTTCCTCAACCCGCAGAACGCCGACGTGAACGGGAACCACGTCGGCATCGACGTCAACTCCGTCAACTCCACGGCGTCCACGGACACGACGACCATCCCGGGCAGGAACCTCACGTCCTCGCACGTTATGACCGCCACTGTCAAGTACCACAATGGGTCCAAGTTGCTGGCAGTTGATCTCCTGATCGACGACGCCATGTACCAGGTCAATGCAACCATTGACCTGAGAAGGTATCTGCCGGAGGAGGTTGCCATCGGCTTCTCGGCGGCGACTGGCTGGGCCGCCGAGCTGCACCAGATACTGTCATGGTCATTCAGTTCCACTCTGCAGCTGGAATCCCAATTGGAATCCAACACGGAAGCGCCTCCGCCGTCTCAACTTCCTCCTCCGACCAGCAACAAGCACAAAATGTTAGTAGTAACCCTGCTGTCCGTACTAGTTCCGCTGCTATTTCTGCTGGCATGCGTGGCCATGGTAACGCTATGGCGGCGACACGAGAAAAGAAGATCAAAAAGAGCAAACGGGGACAGCAGCAGTGACAGCGACGACGAAGAACATTGTGTGGACAGAGCTGGCCTCGAGAGAGGTGTTGCCGCCGGTGGCCCCAAACGGTACACGTACCACGAGCTCGTCGCTGCAACGAGCAACTTCGCGGAGGAGGAGAAGCTCGGGCGAGGCGGCTTCGGCAGCGTGTACCGAGGTAACCTCACGCTCGCCGTCGCCGGCGGTGACCAAGAGCGTCGCGCGGTGGCGGTAAAGGTGCTGTCGGCAGAGTCGTCGGCGCAGGGGAGGAAGGAGTTCGAGGCAGAGGTGAGGATCATCAGCAGGCTGAAGCATCGCAACCTCGTGCAGCTGCTGGGCTGGTGCGACAGCCGCAAGGGGCTGCTGCTCGTCTACGAGCTGGTCGCCGAGGGCAGCCTTGACAGGCATCTCTACAGCAAAGACAGGTTCCTGACATGGCCGCAGAGGTACAAGATCATCCTCGGCCTGGGATCGGCGCTGCGCTACCTCCACGGAGAGTGGGAGCAGAGCGTCGTCCACGGCGACATCAAGCCGAGCAACATCATGCTCGACGCCTCGCACTGCACCAAGCTGGGGGACTTCGGCCTGGCCCGGCTCGTGGACCACGGCGCGGGATTGCTGCAGACCACCAAGGCCGTGCTCGGCACCGCCGGGTACATCGACCCGGAGTTCGTCAACACGCGCCGGCCCAGCACCGAGTCCGACGTGTATAGCTTCGGCGTCGTCCTCCTGGAGATCGTCTCCGGCCGGCGGCCCGTGGTTGAGACCGCGGAGATATCCTTCACGCTGCTCAGGTGGGTGTGGAGCCTGTACGGCAGGGACGCGGTCCTTGACGCGGCGGATGAGCGGCTGAGGGGCGACGAGGCCGACGAGTGGTGGATGGAGCGGGTGCTCGTCGTCGGGCTCTGGTGCGCGCACCCGGAGCGGAGCGAGCGGCCGTCTGTCGCGCAGGCCATGAGTATCCTTCAGTCCGAGGAGGCGAGGCTGCCGGCGCTCCCCCTGCATGTGTACAGGACCGTGCCGGATCTTGCGTCATCCGGCCGGCACGGGGCGTTCTCCCCCGACGGCACCGATCGCGTCGGCTCTTCTTTGGTCAACACCGGCGACGCCACTCTTTCTTCCGACTCGTCCCCGATCGCGTTGCTACGACGTTCCAAGGATCTAGCTAATTGATTGATTTCCTGTTGCGTTGACCCGCGACGCCACAGTTATTTTGAAGGATTGAGCGCTGCCTTGATACTGCATCGAGCAGAGTGATTCATGGTTGGATTAATCTGGTTTGTGATTTCGCTGTATTAATTTCTCTGGTCGATCTTGTATGTACCGGGATGCTCTATCTCTACGTACGTCAAAATTAGATTAGAGGTCACACGTTGATGTCCCTTTTCCATGGACTTTGCCAGGTACTGTCGGGTGTATATGTGGGCCGTGCCAGGTACTGTCGGGTGTATATGTTGTGTATTGGGCTTTGTAGATAGGACGGGACCCACATGATTAACGGACATGTGAATCACGGCGTAGGGGCGACGCAACACATGCGCGACTGGAAATACCATGGGTCGTTGCTTCCCAAAGAAAAGGAAATAGCAAATTTCTTTTTTTTAGTGGGAAAATACCAAATTTCAGAACGTAAAAATGGAAATACCAGGTTGGTTCCACGTCCACGCCTGCACGTTGGCACACCAACTACAAATAAGGAAATTTGATATATCAACTTTTACACGAACGGGCAGTAAGGCCAACTCCAACCGTCGACCTCAAACGGACATTTATTTTGTCCGGATTTTGTTCGTTTGAGTCGACCAAATGGACACAGGTGTTCAGATGCGGTCGTTCGGCCATCGGTGCACCCAACCGGCCCGCCACATCCCAAATTATCAAATTTAAGAGCAATTTCAATGGAGCGACCCATTTCGTCCGCCCGCGTCCGTTTGGGTTGGCATGGACAAAAGTGGCGGCCCAATGCGCCGACCCAAACGGACGCGCGTCCGTTTTTTGTCCGCGGGCGACCCATTCCAGGCCCATTTTTAAGCCGGATCTACGTCGGCGCGGACAAGAGACGGACGCACGCGCCCCTACTCCTCTCCACAGGCCCGCCTGTCGGTGCCAGCCACAACCATTTCCCCCCATTTTTCCAAAAACGCTCCCGCCAGCGCGCACCTCCCGCCCCAAAACCAGCGATGGAGGACGCCATCGACCTCGACCTCGAGGTCGCCGCCGGCCTCGCCTAGGTCGAGCCGCCGCCGGCCTCGCCTCCCTCGCCTCGTCCGGCGCCGTCGCCCCCTCCGGGAAAGGCAAGCCTCGTGCCCCGCGCAAGACCGCCGCGACGACCAAGCCGAAGAAGGCGCTAACGCCCAAACAGCGGGTAAGGGAGTCGGCCAAGAGGAAGGGCCGGAGGCACGCCGCGGACGCGAGGGATGAGGCCGCCGCGCAGGCCGCCGCCGCGCAGCAGGAGTTCACCAACGCTCGTGTCGCCGCTGTAACGAGGGATGCGCTTTACATGCTTGGGGTCAACCCTAGCCAGCACTACCTCATCCAAGCCGCCGTCGCCCCAGCCAGCACCGGCTCGTCGGCATTTCCTCGGATGGTGATGCCCGACTCACCCCGCGCATCGGCTTGCAACCCGGTCCCCGGCTTCCACGTCTACCCTCAGGCCTCCAGCCTCTCCAGGGAGTGCTCACCCGACGTGAGCGTGGTCGCGCCTTCCACACCCGCGCCCGCGCCCATCGACCTCAATGCCACCCCGGTGGTCGGTGGCTCGTCGTCCGGCGGCGCGAGGAAACGCACGCGACAGACACCGGCCGGCGGTCTCCCGGATGCCCGCAACCTGTTCGAGGAAATACCGTCCGCCGTCGACGAGGACTACATGCAACACCTCATCTTCGAGGGTGGTGCGCCGGGCGCTGGCTGTTGGGGAACGTAGTAATTTCAAAAAAATTCCTACGCACACGCAAGATCATGGTGATGCACAGCAACGAGAGGGGAGAGTGTTGTCTACGTACCCTCATAGACCGGAAGCGGAAGCGTTATAACAACGCGGTTGATGTAGTCGTACGTCTTCACGACCCGACTGATCAAGCACCGAAACTACGGCACCTCCGAGTTTTTGCACACGTTCAGCTCGATGACGATCCCCGGACTCCGATCTAGCAAAGTGTCAGGGATGAGTTCCGTCAGCACGACGGCGTGGTGACGATCTTGATGTTCTACCGTTGCAGGGCTTCGCCTAAGCAACGCTACAATATTATCGAGGATTATGGTGGAGGGGGCACCGCACACGGCTAAGAGATCAATGATCAATTATTGTGTCTCTGGGGTCCCCCTGCCCCCGTATATAAAGGAGTGGAGGAGGGGGCCGGCCAAGGAGGGTGGCGCGCCCAAGGGGGGGAGTCCAACTCCCACCGGGAGTAGGACTCCCCTTTTTCCTATTAGGAGTAGGAGAGGGAAGGAAGAGGAAGGAGGGAGGAAGGAAAGGGGGGCCGGCCCCCTTCCCAATTCGGATTGGGCTTGGGGGGGGGGGGCGCCCCCTCCCTTTCTCCTTTCCCCTCCTTTCCACTAAGGCCCAATAAGGCCCATATACCTCCCGGGGGGTTCCGATAACCTCCCGGTGATCCGGTATTGTCCCAATCTTACCCGGAATCTTTCCGGTGTCCAAATATAGTCGTCCAATATATCGATCTTTATGTCTCGACCATTTCGAGACTCCTCGTCAAGTCCGTGATCACATCCGGGATTCCGAACAACCTTCGGTACATCAAAATATATAAACTCATAATGAAACTGTCATCGTAACGTTAAGCGTGCGGACCCTACGGGTTCGAGAACAATGTAGACATGACGAGACACGTCTCCGGTCAATAACCAATAGCGGAACCTGGATGCTCATATTGGCTCCTACATATTCTACGAAGATCTTTATCGGTCAGACCGCATAACAACATACGTTGTTCCCTTTGTCATCGGTATGTTTCTTGCCCGAGATTCGATCGTAGGTATCTCAATACCTAGTTCAATCTCGTTACCGGCAAGTCTCTTTACTCGTTCCGTAATACATCATCTTGCAACTAACTTATTAGTTGCATTGCTTGCAAGGCTTAAGTGATGTGTATTACCGAGAGGGCCCAGAGATACCTCTCCGACAATCGGAGCGACAAATCCTAATCTCGAAATACGCCAACCCAACATGTACCTTTGAAGACACCTGTAGAGCACCTTTATAATCACCCAGTTACGTTGTGACATTTGGTAGCACACAAAGTGTTCCTCCGGTAAACGGGAGTTGCATAATCTCATAGTCATAGGAACATGTATAAGTCATGAAGAAAGCAATAGCAACATACTAAACGATCGCATGCTAAGCTAATGGAATGGGTCATGTCAATCACATCATTCTCCTAATGATGTGATCCCGTTAATCAAATGACAACTCATGTCTATGGTTAGGAAACATAACCATCTTCGATTAACGAGCTAGTCAAGTAGAGGCATACTAGTGACACTTTGTTTGTCTATGTATTCACACAAGTATTACGTTTCCGGTTAATACAATTCTAGCATGAATAATAAACATTTATCATGATATAAGGAAATAAATAATAACTTTATTATTGCCTCTAGGGCATATTTCCTTCAGTCTCCCACTTGCACCAGAGTCAATAATCTAGATTACATAGTAATGATTCTAACACTCATGGAGCCTTGGTGCTGATCATGTTTTGCTTGTGGAAGAAGCTTAGTCAATGGGTCTGCTACATTCAGATCCGTATGTATCTTGCAAATCTCTATGTCACCCACCTGGACTAGATCCCGGATGGAATTGAAGCGTCTCTTGATGTGCTTGGTTCTCTTGTGAAATCTGGATTCCTTTGCCAAGGCAATTGCACCAGTATTGTCACAAAAGATTTTCGTTGGACCCGATGCACTAGGTATGACACCTAGATCGGATATGAATTCCTTCATCCAGACTCCTTCGTTTACTGCTTCTGAAGCAGCTATGTACTCCGCTTCACATGTAGATCCCGCCATGACGCTTTGTTTAGAACTGTACCAACTGACAGCTCCACCGTTTAATGTAAATACGTATCCGGTTTGCGATTTAGAATCGTCCGGATCAGTGTCAAAGCTTGCATCAACGTAACCATTTACGATGAACTCTTTGTCACCTCCATATACGAGAAACATATCCTTAGTCCTTTTCAGGTATTTCAGGATGTTCTTGACCGCTGTCCAGTGATCCACTCCTGGATTACTTTGGTACCTCCTTGCTAGACTTATAGCAAGGCACACATCAGGTCTGGTACACATCATTGCATACATGATAGAGCCTATGGCTGAAGCATAGGGAACATCTTTCATTTTCTCTCTATCTTCTGCAGTGGTCGGGCATTGAGTCTTACTCAACTTCACACCTTGTAGCACAGGCAAGAATCCTTTCTTTGCTTGATCCATTTTGAACTTCTTCAAAACTTTGTCAAGGTATGTGCTTTGTGAAAGTCCAATTAAGCGTCTTGATCTATCTCTATAGATCTTAATGCCCAATATGTAAGCAGCTTCACTGAGGTCTTTTATTGAAAAACTCTTATTCAAGTATCCCTTTATGCTATCTAAAAATTCTATATCATTTCCGATTAGCAATATGTCATCCACATATAATATCAGAAATGCTACAGAGCTCCCACTCACTTTCTTGTAAATACAGGCTTCTCCGAAAGTCTGTACAAAACCAAATGCTTTGATCACACTATCAAAGCGTTTATTCCAACTCCGAGATGCTTGCACCAGTCCATAAATGGATCGCTGGAGCTTGCACACTTTGTTAGATCCTTTTGGATCGACAAAACCTTCCGGCTGCATCATATACAACTCTTCTTCCAGAAATCCATTCAGGAATGCAGTTTTGACATCCATCTGCCAAATTTCATAATCATAAAATGCGGCAATTGCTAACATGATTCGGACAGACTTAAGCATCTCTACGGGTGAGAAGGTCTCATCGTAGTCAATTCCTTGAACTTGTCAAAAACCTTTTTGCGACAAGTCGAGCTTTGTAGACAGTAACATTACCGTCAGTTTCAGTCTTCTTCTTGAAGATCCATTTATTTTCAATTGCTTGCCGATCATTGGGCAAGTCAACCAAAGTCCACACTTTGTTCTCATACATGGATCCCATCTCA